GACCGCGGTTTCTGGTCTTAATCTGGGTTCTGAAATGAGAAACGATTGAACATCAAGAGTATATTTTATGTATATGTGTGTCCCGATCTGTCACTGACTTGAATTTCGAGAATCTCGAGTGTATATCTTATGTATATTTTATGCATATGTGGGTTCTAAAATCGATTTTGATAAACAAATAAAACTCGAGCTTAATTAAAGTATATTTTATGTATATGTGTATCCCGATCTGCCGTTGGCTTGAATTACGAGAATCTCGAGTGTATATTTTATGTATATGTGTATTGTGTATTTTTATATACTTAACATAAGCCAGAGATAATCAAAATCAAGCACAAATGATTATTTTCGTTAAAATAATATAATTTTGACATAAACAAATATGAGATAATTACTCCCTAAATATATATGGTAGTTTTTGAAGTGGGCGGTGTTTGTGGGAGAGAGAAAAGGGAGAAATTTGTGTCGTAGAGAGAGAAAATGGGTGAATTTGTGTTGAAGAAAGTGGACTAATGGGTGGTTATTGAGTCAATGGAGATATCCCTCTTACCATATGTTTCGGAAACCGTTTTTGGAGCTGATAACTTTCCCATTAATTTAGCTACTAATTGATTATTTAATTCGTTATTGATAGCAACCGAAATCTAGTAAAAATACAAATATAATCATGATTTCTTGCTATAATGCTAATAAATTTTATCGGATGTTATTTATGTAAATCAAGTTAAACGTTCTAGTGTGGGGTGCAATTTTCTCATTTTTATTGCATTTCCTTTATTGAGTCTTCGAAGGGATTCGAAACGCATGGGCCTTAGGCCTAGATGTCGGCCCTTGTCGATTCACGAAACCCTAGAGTCGATTTGCAAATAGATTGTTGGTGTGGATCTACAGATCCAGTGTGAAGACCAAGTGAAAAAAAAAAAAAACTGAAAACCAACCGCCCAATGAATAGCGGGCGTCCATCCTTAAAAGCATAACTGCCGCGTGTCCCCGAGATGTGACCATACGTTACAGTCTTAGATGGAATGATCATTTTTGTGCCATCATAACATTCTTGTATAGGGTTGTATAAATATGTCGAATTGTACGTACCCCCAAGGTGGACCATGAAGTATTCAACAATCAAGAATGACACACTCATAACAATAACTACATCATTTTCACAAATTCACAAATTTATTAGTCTATGCTCAAGACTTGAAAGAGATAAAATGTCAATTTATTATTATTATTATTATTTTTTATTTACGTATTCTTTATAGGCTCATCGAGCTATCCTACGATGATAGGCCACACCTATAGCGTCATCACAAGCCATGGTTTCAGGCCCGCTGGCGGAAACTCCAAGTGTTGTAACCCGCCTAGACTAGTCGCTGCTAAGGTATCCAAATAATCCGCCGCGCAATTTGATTCACGGTAGACATGCCGAATACACCCTCCAATCACGAGACATCACCTCCTTCATAGCCCGGATTAGACTACTATGCACACCTTCGACCTCAGTCTGCTTATTCACCAACTCCGCCACCGCCTTACTGTCGACGTCCGCTACCACATGGCGATACCCCAAATCCCATGCTAACAACAGTCCCTGCAACAGGCCCCATAATATTGTGTAATATAATTGATCAAGCAAAGTTGGCCTTTCTTGTACACAGCCATTGGTGACATTGTGACAGCACCAACAAATCAAAAGCATATATATATACTCATTATTATTCAACACCAAAAATAGTGTTTTTTTTTTTTTT